TAAAATACAGTGCAACAGATTCTATTCATATTAAAATATAAAATACAGTGCAACAGATTCTATCCCTATTAAAATATAAAATACAGTGCAACAGATTCTATCCCTATTAGAATATAAAATACAGTGCAACAGATTCTATTCCTACTAAAGTCATTATTACCTGATATTGTATGTATTCAAAACCAGTTACTACTTCAGGGAACCAAAGTACGTTTGATAACAAGTTTCACTATTACAACATTTCTGTATAAGATACACAGAGCACCATCTAATGTTTGTTTTACTTTCATTTGTTGTTTACTTTTTTCTGTTTAAAAATCCTGAAGGTATGTTTACTTCAGGATAACAAAAGGAAATTATAGAGTTGTTAATAAGGATCAGTGTGTACAAATAAAGAAAAGTAATAGATTTAGAGAAATCTGGAAAACTCGCAGAAGTACTTTAAACTTAAGGGAAGTAAAATACAGGTGTTTAAAAACCTTGCTTTGTTATATGAATGTTCATTAATTCACAGATCCTGAAGCTGTAAAGATGGAATATAAGGCCGTACACAACAACAAAGTTGGAGACTGTTAGAAAGTTTACCATACATAAGCTTGCTTGGAAGAAGACTTTAAGAACTCTTTTTTTTTGCTTTGTGATTTAATAAACCATACTTGTGAACAGTTTGCACCTATGTCTGTTTGACATTGATGAGATTTACAGATTTAACAACTTTCTTTTTCAATTGGGTTATAACTTAACAGAAAAATGATTTTCAGTACAAATAAGCATTTAAATATAAATACACATAAAAGTCCAACTAAGATTTTTGCTGTTGTTATTTCAAAAACTAGTCAATAATAAAATCTATAATAAAGATACAAAATTACCTTTCTTCCCCTTGTGTATATTTTTGGAGCTATATACTTTGTACTGAAAATAATGATTTATTAAAAAAGTAATACCCCAAACTTTTCCCATCTTAACAATACAATAATACAAACATAAAATGACAATTAACAATGAAATAAACTATACTGGTAACAATAAAAATCATATAATGAGCACTGAAATATGACGTTTTTATTTGTATATACTATTGTAACACCATATAGTCAGTACATTGTCAAAACAAGATTACAACTTAGAAGATATCACCACAGAACTAAACCTTTTGCGCAAGTATTGCTTGTCTATTTTGATAGAAGTAGATTCTAGGATGCTCTGGAAAACACGCCACTTATTTCTGAACACTTGAACCACTTCAGATATCCAAATGTTTTTTTGTTTTTTTTTCACAAGTCGAGCAGGCACTCAGTAAATAGCCTACATGTCACAGAATATTTTTGTCAAATACACAAGCAACACAAACATATTTCTACTTAAAAAATCTTCCACACAGTTAAAACTCCAAGCTACATCAGTAATGAGCAAATATGAAGTAAAGTAAACATGTTCCGGATACCATATACGAAATTTGTACTGACCTGAACAAACAATCACTGTCTAGCTACTCATTCTAATTGTATTCATTTTGAATTATGATAGTTGTCATATTTAAAGAAGTTAAATATTATATGGCTAAGTCTTTGGAGTAATTACAAGACAAAAAAAAAGTATCTTCATATAACCTCTGAACATTTACATTTCAAGTTGTTTCTACATGGTGTTTCTTGGAACACTTGTCATATTGAATACCTGCACTGTTAGCTAAAGTAGTTTTCCTGAATTAGTATTTAAGCTAGGCAGCATCTTCTAGTGAACATCACGTGACCACCACATTTTATGTAAATTTAATGCAAAATTCAACTCTTTCACTGGATTGAAAAAAACTTATGAAGTAAATAATCAAGAGATTTCTTTACACATTTAACTAAAAAATTCATAACACTAAATAAGAGAATGACTTAATATATGTTAAAAACAAGCTAACATAATATATTAGTGACAGTTATAATGAACTGAGACAAACCATTACTGAATAAAACTAAATGTTTCCTTGAGTTAAATAGTTGCAAATATACAAATAGGTGCATATGAAAATCGTGATATTTAAACACTGATGAACAGTACTAACAATCATATGCACCAATTTAACATACATTACAGAGGAACAGAAAAACAAAAAATTATGAAACCTAACACACTTAACTATGTACTGACGAAAGGTGACTGTAACGATATGATATTTAAGCACAACTCACTTTGATGAGAGGTATTTAATTTTTTTTTGTTATTTCTAGAGCTTCAACATATTATAACAGAGTAAAAAAAAAAGCAGCATTCTTGTATAACATGAAACAAAAACATCTACCATATCATCTCCCGATATAATATAAATACAAGTTATCCAAATAAAAGTTAAACACTTGCAACAGTTTGAAACATGTCAGTGGTAAAATACCATATATATAAATAATTCCATATCAAACTCAAATGGAATGAAAAAGAGATTACTAAGTTGTTCAGTTTTCATGGATGTCACAAGGGAAAGGAAATGCTTCGAACAAAATCACAGTTAACCATAGGCCTAACTACACACATTCTTATATAGTTCACTGTTTGTTTATTTAAACACCGTACTTCACCATGTTACCCTTGTCATTTTAGTACAATCAAGTGTTCATGGAGGCAAACTGATAAATCCCCGAAGTTAAATCTACAATAATTACTTAAAGTAAGGAACAATGTAAATAGCAGAACTAGATATAGCACCACGAAAGCTCACATCCAAAAATACTTAACATGCTAGTATAATAAGAGAAATATTGATAGTTCAAGTTCTTTCAACAGACTAATACCCTTTCTTTTTAAAACCTTAACTGTATGCTTTCTGAATGTATTGCCCTTTCACTTAAAGGGTCCTACAAAATGTTTTATGAAAGCAAAGAAAAAAAACACACACACACACTGAAGTAAATAATAGAGAGAAAAAAGGTCGTTATTTGGGGCAGAAGAGTTGATAGATTAGTTAGAAGCTACTGAAAGACAAGATTTACTGTTAGCAAATCGAAAAGGAAAGAAAAAATATGAATTACAATTTTACTCTGGTAATAATCTAGTTACCAATGAAGTAAATAGGTGTGTGTCACAAGACTAAAAACGAAACTACAGACTCCTCTAAAAATGGTAACATGAATATTTTTTATATACACCTGAGGAAACAGAGAATCTGTTACATGGTAAGTGTACACTCTTATTACAAAGTGTACTCTGAAGTGCTTTAAAATGTTTTCAAAGTCTAACTACTTGATAATGTTGAATAAAGGTGAACTTGTGAAGATGTTACAATCTCTAGAGTGCTCGACAATAAAGAACCAACATTAAAAGTTTAAAACTAAAGACATTTCTATTTTCAACAGATTATTAACATTACTTTGGGTAACAGAAGTGACTGGAACTTCTCCAACTATACATTTTCAGATCAAATATATGAAAAGTCACATTCACAACAACTTTAACTAAATGAACATTCAAAACAGCAATAATTCATGCTGGTAAGTTAGGTACACTAAACAAAACAGGTTTGTGGAACTTGTTGTATATGAAATGCCAAGAAGCAGATCTCAAACTTGCAGCTGTACATATTTATACATACACACACACACACACACACACACACAGATATATATAAATGGCTTTGGCAGCCTGGGGTTCACCATCTGGAATCACCTCTTCAACAAACATTGTTACTTCATTCCATATTTATCTGCTTCATTTTTCACAAGTACTTATCATTACATTTAGTCACAGACATGCAACTGTTAAGTCTCAGCTTATAACATGTCATGTCAGCATGAGCAAATTCTGTTTAAAAGTAAGGGAGGGGGTTATTTTCTATAATCTTTTTTTCCCCTTTGATTTTAAAGGAAGGCAACAGCATTAAATACTGGTTTCATGAACTTTACTTGGTTCAGACAAAAGGTGGTAGCCCTGAGAGAGTGGGCTGGTGGCATTGTTATCTACCCAGTTGGGGAAAGAAGTATTAGAGGAAGGAGCCGAGGAAGAATTTACTGGTGTTATACTTGTTGTCAGTGGTGAAAAGCATGGGGTCCCTTGATGATCTGCTGGGGATTGCTGTGATTGTTCCATCAGGGGAGCAGTCTCCGAGTGAACATGTGCATCATTATCACTGAGAGTGGGAGTTACCACTGGGTTGTTCTTGTTCGAGGTGTTGATCTTAGCTCCTTTCATATTCTTTGTGTTCAGTCTTTTGTGGGTAGCACTCTGTTCGTGAGAATATTCGTTGGATGATGGTGTTTTCATTTCTTCATCAATGTAGCTTATATCTGAGAGTGGTCTAGTCCCAGGATGGCTACGAGAACTACGCAAGCTGTGTAAACTGTGTAAACTATGAACACTACGCTTTTCTTCCATGTCTTCCAACGTACTCTTAAAGGCCCTGACTACTCGAAGCTGTGAAAGGAAAGAGGGAAAAACGTCCATACAGCAGACAAATTATTAGGCACGAAAGAAGGCAAGAATGGTAAACAAAGGTTGCAGAGTACTAAACTACAGTTAACATGTGCACACTAAACAATACAAAACTGCTAGCATCAGTCCTCAAAACCTCCAATGTTGACCATTTCCCTAAAGTTAACCAAATCTACTTCTGTTAAACTACTATAAAGTCTAAGTTATCAGTGTATCCACTTCTTCATACAAGACAAGCCAGTCTTCTGGAGTCTCTCCATGGCTACCTAATGCAAAAGCTGGGTTTAACACATGCAAAATATTTGCAGCCAACATACATACAACTACAGAAATTCACTATACTATCACTACAGGGCAAAGGGTAATCAAGCAGTGTCAAGGTTCATGCTATGTATCAGGTATAGTGTTACCAGGTCTTTATGGTAACAGTGATATGAGGAAGCTCAACAAGAAAATGAGCTACTGATTTTTGACGATCAAATCAGAATGGCCACAACATACTTTAATGAGCTCATCAACTTGAAACCTGTTTATAATCATTCAAAATCTTCAAAGATATTCAGGTACATAGTTTCATGGTAAATCAATTTTTTTCAATAAAAAATTAAAATATACAGAGTTGTAAGCAAAAGTTTTCAATTCATGTTAGCTGCCACAGCCTTTTCCTTAGTCATAAAAACTTAACAGGCAACTCTTTTCAGCAGAACTAAGCAGAAAAGTAAGTAAAAACACATTACCTTATTAATTCTGAGTGTTTCAAGTACATTACAACCTGGACAGGGTTAACGATGCTAACATTTACAGCTTCCAACTATGCAAGTTATAGACTCGGGACATGATTGAAAATGTATTTATGTCCTAATTTTCAAATACAAAACATCTTAAGTAAGTCTGAAAAACTACTTAAAGCCTTTGCTGTGAATTGATTGGATATACCAACACGTTTTCATGTGGCCTTTTAGAAACATTACGGCATTCAGGGTAACATTTCTAGAAATACAAGTGTCTACACAGGAAATGGTCAGCACGTGAGATTGTTGAGTTTAAAAAATAAAATATAAGTACATCTCAATTAAAACATGCTTTTAAAGTTTTGTTCTTACAAGCATACCATAGAAGATGAACAACCAAGAAATTGTCTCAAGTTATCAGATGAATCATTATCAATTTTCAAGAATGTATTACAGACGACGTTACATCTTCTGTATAATATTTTCCTTTTCCATGTATGTGTGTCTTTTGATAAGAATCTTTTTTTAATGATGCTAAATAAGACCAAGTTAAAAGATTTCTGGTTTCATTTAACTCCACATATTGATGATCTCATTCTTTTTCTCTTGTCCTTAATAATTATTGTGGAATACAAAACATTATCACGTATTTTGTTTTAATGTAGTAGTTTAACATTTCTGATACTGTTAAGTGCACTGCCACTAGTCAGTGGCTTAATTTTTAGCAAATAATGAAGTAAAGGTTTGGAGAAATTATATTGATACTAATGTAAAAACAGACACAAATGATGTGACTTATCATCGTTTATTTTTTCTTGGTGAAAATAATAAACACTTAAAACTGTATTGCTCAAGAAAAGCAGGCTTACGTGAACATAAGACCCACGCCCCCATGGTTGTTAACATAAGACCCATGCCCCCCATGGTTGGTATTTATCATTACAGCTTCCCTTACTTTGGCAAATCAAATTTGAACAAAATTCATTTCTAGGTCTTGAAAATTTTGTTCAGTCACAGTTAATATGATAGGTTAGGTGTCCAATGATATTCCATTCATGAACCGTATTGAATAACTGATTTTGAAAGAGCGGAAGAACTGAAAGAATGGAGAATAATCTCAAATATTTCTTTTACCAGGAAATGTAACTTTCTTGATCAGCAAGAACACAGATCATTCACCTTATTATGTAAAGTATATATTTTTTTCAGTTAGTGATAATATAGAAGGTGTCAAAATGTGGCATTTTACCATACAGCCAGACACCCATGAAGGGGGAGTAGTCTC